AGCAGGTTTTCTTCTTTTTAGCAATAGTTTCTTTTAGATTTTTAATTTAGTTTTTTATATTCCTTAGTATTAGTATTCATTTTCTTTGATATATTTGTTTTCAAGATATACCCTTTTTTCATTCCCTATTATCTCATTTTTTTTTCTTTTTCCTTCTCTACAAGAAAGTGTCATCAATTTGGCAGCATTCTATTGTAAAGCAGGAATCTTGACAGGGCGAGCAATAGCCAACCGAGGAATCTGAGGGAAATAAGTCTGAAGTAAGTTCTGGATCTCTAGAGAAGGCCAAGTGTTGCTAGGCAGGTCACATCTGAGCAAAACACAATGGTTTAATGGTTCGCTCTAATCACAAGTGGATGTTTTGGCATCTGCGAGGTACGCTAGAAGTGAGTTTACTCTTTGGTTAGAACACTTATAGATTTTAGATTTCTTTATATACCGATATAGGAATGAAAGTCTGTTTTCATAATAAAGTAAACAGGATTGCTGAAGGAAAAAAAAATTTTATATAGTTTGTATAATATTATACAAATTTATATCTCTAATATAACTCTAGTATAACCTTAACACTAACTTAATATAATTTGTGTAATATTATACAATTTTATATATATATATTTTTTTTGTAATCAAGGTTAGCCTCTTTGGCTTATCATTTTTATTAATCTATAGAATCATATAGTGTCCTTCAAAAAGGCCCCAGACAAGTATATTCTGACAAGGGTATATTCTAACCATATCTGCACCTTTTAAGTGTCTAATTTAAGTAGTCTGTCTATTACTAGATTCTACATTAAATGCCATACTTATAACCTATTTATTATTTGGATTACCTAATTAAATTCTCTAATCCAAGTTTTTTATATCAATCTATCTAATCTCATTAGAACCTGCGATATATTAGTCAGTCCAAGTTCTAGGCTCGTTTGTGAACTACCTATAGGACTACCAGCTTGGTTAACCGATTCATTCTCAAGATCATCACCTGCTAGAGCAGTCTGATACTTACTATTACTATATTACCTAGTCTTTTTCAAATAAGTCTTGCCAAATAGGTTCTATACCTTTACAAGCAGACCACACTGCCAATTCTTTCTGCAGTTAAGTTCACCAAATAGGTTCTAAATCTTTATGAACAGGCCATACCGCCAAACCACTAACCCTTGCAAAGTTTACCCAAACCCTGATACTCTTCCTTCAAGACTATCCGGTATCTTTCTTTTCAATACTCTCTAGCCAGTCTCCTCAAATTACCAATTCAGATGGCCTGAAAGGGACACTGGTCTCATAGTATCTGCCAATCCTTTTCTTCTAGTCGATGCTCAAACTAGCGACCTGGTTGGTGAAACAACTTGCAAGGTGTTCTTGTCACATTCAGTTCTCCAGCCTCGGATGAAGCCCATTCCAGTAGCCACTGTTAAAAGTTTGTACTACATCTCTACTCAGGTCTTGCCAAGTGGCGTTCATCTTTCAGATTCCTTAGATTTATATGAACACAAGGTTTTATCTTGAGTTTTGAACTGACTAATACTAGCTTGTATACTTTTGTATAACTTATATATTGCACAAATATCTCATATTCTCCCAATCTTGTTGATGCAACCAAGGTTATAGAAATCTTATTCTAATAGATCATCGAAAGACAGTAGCTGTTGTGCAAGCAGAATATTTGAAATTTCACCATCAGTAGGTTTCAAACCCCACCTGCCAACTTGCCACTTGGGAGTACAACAACTTAACCACTTTACTAAGTATAATTTTATATTTTTAATATAACTTTAACACTAACTTTATATAATTTGTATAACATTATACAAATTTATATAACTAATATAATCTTAAACTAACTCTAATCCTAACTCTAATACTAATATTAATTCTAATAATAGAGGTACATTAAATTATAAAATTCTAATATATAATAAAAATATTAATAAAAAATGCATTTATATTACATTAAATAATATATTTTTTTAAAAATTTCTTAAACTTTGATCAAATATATCTTGACAACTAAACAAGTAAATTCAATAAAAATTTTTTTATTTGAATTCTACAGTTCTGTAGAATTTAAATAAAAAAAAATTTATTAAATTTTATTAATTAGTTGTTAAAATATATTTGATCAAAATTTTGTAACCAATTTTAACACAGTTTCTATATCAAAAAAATATTTTTTAAAATATATATTGATTATAATCTCCTAGATTATAATCAATATACATCACTTCTGCCAAATATAATTAGTAATAAATAATATTATATAGCAAAAATTTGTTAAGTTTTATTAAACTTTGATATAAATTTTCTTAATAACTATTAATTAAAATTAGTTAAAAATTTTACTGTAGATAGTATTGGTATTTAACTATAACATAAAAATTTTAGCTAATTATAATTACAGTTCACAAATAATCACTTAAAAACGTTTTAAAGCTAAGATTTAAAATAAAGGTATTATTTGATACCATATATACTTTATAAATAGAATTATCTATACCGTAAAATTAAAAAAAAAAAAAATAGAATTATCTATATTACAAAAGATTTAATATTTATTTGCTATATATAATAAACCTAAATAGCTTTTAACTTTCGTATTAAATTAAAAAATACAGTAAATTACAATTTATAATAAAATATAAAAAATAATATATAGTCAACTTTGAACTTAACAAACCTTTCTATAATATATAGATCCTAAATATGCGTAACAAATTAGGAATTTTTAAATTTTATAATATCGATACCTAGTTCTGTATAAAAAATGTTATGGGCTTTTTTTTTATAAAAAAAACAATTTTCTACAACAAACTTTTTTTTCGAACAGTTCTGTTCATTATAGAAAAAGCTGATAGTATTGTTATTAAAATAGGAATAAATGTAATTTTTGAAAGCATCACCCTATATGTGATAACCAAATCTCAATTTAAAATTAAGTAGTAATTCTCAATAACTTAAAATTTTATTATGAATAAGTACCAAATTACATAGTGATTTTATTTATCCAGATCTATAGTATTTAAAACTGAATTGGCAGGGCGATTCCGGATGTACAACCAGGCGAAACATATCCAGTGAGCTCTTCACATGGGATGCGCCATAATGTGGTTGTTGGATGCCATGTACGTACTTGTGCACTTAGGAGCCACTCTAGCCGATTCGAACTAATGTTTTTACAAAAAAAATCTTTTTTAGTTCTCCAATTATTTAGCGGATAAGTTTCCCGCTAAGTTGGATAGTTAAGAGATGGCGAAAATTGGAAATTGCGGATTCATTTCCTGTGACAAAGAAAAAAAAATGAATGACATAGTATTCTTAAAAGAATAAATATTCTAGCAATGCGTTAAAAGTTACCTGTTTAATACGTTCGCAAAGGTCATCAAAATCCTGAGGCCTTTGACACAAAAATCCCAAAAGCATCGAGGGATCCATTTCAGTAATATCCATTGCTCGAACGATTGTAGAATGGTAATCCTTAATAAATATGACGTTTGTTATCATAAGAATAACTATTACACATACGGACCAAAGTAACAGAATACATACTTCAATCGGAAATTCTGGGGTTTTACTGAGATTTATCGCAGGTCGGACAAAATGTGGATCAAGATAAAAGAACTCATCATCTAACCATGTGTAAACTAATGTAAATTATCGAATGATATAAAACATATCATATATCGTATTTTGTAAGCATACCCTGAACTGCTACGAAATATAAAGACTTTCTCGGTCTACCGCCTGCGATTCCCAAGAATTGAGGAAAAGTAAACATAATCTTGAAATTAAGGAAAGTATTAATAATTAATATTTGTAATTATCAAGATTAATATTGTATAATACTTTATGTATAAATACCTTCAAGTTTTCAGAATAACTTGGATTAAATCTATCAGTACCCAATCTAAAAGAATCTGAAGCTATAAAAATTTTGACTCTAACTATTCTAAAACAATATAAAGGATAAATACAAACCTAATAGATAGCAATATAAGTACAGGCTTCCAAGCCTTTTGATCACATAATAATTTGTTATCATGTTCTACCATAGCTATATTAATCACCTCTGACCTATATATGGTGTTATCCGTTGGGACATAAATACTTAGCGGGCATTCTTTATGATTCAAAGATAATCTCCTGCAATAAGTTTATAAAAAATAATGACAAAGAATTAATATAGAACAGAAATGAGAAAAGATAATAAGCTTGAAACCGATCCTACTTTAATACGTGCGCTACAGTAGCGGGACCAAACCAATCACCAATCTTCTTATCAAATACAATACCCGTACGTGCGATGTTATGAATAGAATAGTATTGTTCAGGCTCTGGGCCATCCATAAACCATCGCAAAATCTTTCAAAATATATAAGAAATTTATCAAATAAAAACTAATATAGAAAGATAATCAATAACCAATTATGTATAACGATCATACCTTGCGATATATTAATGTGTCAGATTCTGTTTGTGGATTGTGTAACCGCCAGTCTGTATAAAATAATGACCGAAAATGAAAAATGCATATCTTTAAATTAATTTCATAAAGTATAATTGCAGCATCGCTATATTTAGTAAACCAATGCATAAACATATACCTCTCCCTAAAAGAGTCCATAAAAACCCTTGAGCTAATAAACTCTGACCAGTTCTATGCATACAACCCCAACCTGTATCGGTGGTATGAAAAGCCGGCTCAATAGGAAGAAAATCTTTCCGATAACAACAAAAAATTCTCGACTGAAAGTCCAAATAAAAGTCCATCAACTTTTTCTGATTTAGTGACAATGGATCAAGTGAGTCAGGCTTATAAAGACTAGTTGGTGTTGATATTGATTGAAATGAGCCAGTTGACCGAACAGATCCAGTATCGGATAACTTTCGTTCATGCCAAGTATTTGTATTAGCTTGCAAGTTTGTTTTTTGTGATTGTAAATTATCATCCAAGACAACTTTAACGTTATCAGAATCTCTAGATAAATCAAAACGTTTGACTTCTCTTCGTGCAATTGACTCCCTTGTTACGGTTTCCACAGAAATATTGTCACCAGAAAGTGCATCCGGTTCAACTTCTTCAGTTCTTGTGTTGGTGTCGCTATCATCACTATCTCCAGAGCTATATAATATATCTTCAGAATATGAAACTTCGGCGATCTGATTTCTAGAATTATCAATATCTTCAAAACTTGTGTACTTAAGCTTTGACTCATTTCCAAAAAATTTAGAATCCAAATCACCTTCTATTTCTGCATGTGGATATAATTTCCGTGAAGAATTACCATGCTTATTTTTCTCCTTACCAGAGAAAATTCCAGAAAAAGTCATTCTACGAGGCTTTTTTGGCTTTGACGAAAAGACACCGTGAGCAATGACATTTGAAGGTTCAATCCCTTGATTTGAAATTGAAAAGGTACGTAAAAAATTTGAAGTAATTGAAGATCGCCTTGAATTTTGAGCTTGTAAATGGTTGTTCGATGGAGGTGAGAGCTTTGAATTATCAGCTTTAATTGCGGATGAACATTTTGAATCCGTTTGTGAAATATCTGAAGAATCGGATATTTTGTCGAACGAAAACGAATGAAAGCGTTTACCAGCTTGCCTATGATACGCGGAGTTCGAAGATCCAGAGTTAACACGATTCTCAATATTTGAATGCAATAAATCTGGATATGATTTATTTTCAGGTGGAGGAGATTTTTGGGAGAACGATAATGACCTTAAACGTTGGATAACTATATTTGGCGTCGACGACGAGCTGATAGTAACTTTGGGAGTTACTTTTGTTGAATGAGGCACACTTAAATTCTGACCGTCAACACCACACGTAGTTTGCGGACAAGAACGAAACTTGCCTATTTTATGTGATTGAACAGGACCATCATTATGATGTAGATCATGTACAGACATATCATCATAATCTTCTTCTTCTTCAGATGATCCGAACACTAAATTTAAAAATGAAGACGCCCGACTACTTCGAGCTTTCTCATCTCGATCAAATTTTGGAAGGTTGACGGATCCGCAATCCTCTATAAATCATACAACCATCAATTACTGAAAAGATAATCATATTGGAATACGGACCAATTAAGCGTTAATTTACCCGGAAATTCATATTCTATTCCAAGCATCCATATAGAATTCGTTAAATATATTTTTTTGACCCTAGACCTTTCATCTGATTTCATATATTGAACAAGTCTCGTGTTATAAAACCAATGCCTTTATTGAAAAATGTGTTTAGTTGTTGACATAAATGAATGAGAAACTAAGAAAAATATGAACAAATCAACGAATATTTTATGTGAATAGAATCCCCGAACAAAGATAACAGTTATTCTTTTACACATTAATGATTTTTAAAAAAATCAATTATATGAGACTAACCCCATTTTTTGTAGAAGCTCGGTTGAAGGATTCTTGGGTACATCATAATCATTAGGAAGCTCATCGCCGTTTATTTCTTCGGGAGGTGAACTAGGAATAAAAGTGCTTTGTGAAGTGGAAGTAGAAGACACTTCAGCATGCAAAGAATCCACGGAAAAATCGTCAACACTATCCCACTCGTCTTGTCCTATCATTGTAGGTGGAGACGAAGGTGGTGTGAAAATTTTTATGATAGGCTGTACTGATTGCGACATTTCGAAAAAAATTTTCTTATATTTAATATATATATATAATATACACGCTATTTAAAAAATAAAGTTCTGAAGCTCAAGTTAGAAACTTGTATTAAGAAAGAGTTAAAATCAAAATTTACATAAATTTACATTTGACGCATTTAGTTGTAAACACATTACCTGAGTCATCCAAGTGGTGGCTTAGTAACAACTGTCCAAAACATGTGACTAAATACAGCATACATCAATATATATCAGATATAGATTATATTAAGGAGCGTGAAGAAATACGTGCATACATACGAATTTACGTTTATACTCAGCCTTTCAGCATTGAATTAACCTTTTAAATTTTGATACATAGTATACCATAATGAGGGTTGATTTGTTATTGATCGGCGCATGGTTTTTTCCGAAATTTGTGAATTTTAACTTTAAGATTACGCAAATAACTGCGGATTATCCGTATCGCAAATTATACGTATATTATATATATATTTATACATGCCCCAAATAGTTCTTTTTTTATTCTTTTTCTGATATCAATTCAAAAATATAAATATGCTCCAGTTTACCTAAAAAGATCGTGAAATATATATGTTATAAAGGAAATGTTTTTAATTTTATCAACTCTACATGGTTTAAGATTACGAAAATAATACAAGGTTTCATTTTAGTTGCACTGATTGCACATTTTAATTGTCATTAATAGTTGTGTGACAAATCCAACCCATAGTTGTATATATACATACTTAAAATTTCTAAATTTTGCAAGTCAAATGAGTACAAGAGTATTTATTGTCTTATAGAACAAATTTTGTACGTGTTGTTAATACGTAAGGTTCTCAAGTTTTTGAAAACTTTGATATATTTAATGGCATGATGCAAGGCATCAAGTCCGTGTTACTTTATATTTTAAGTAAATTTAAAGGATAATGTTGCTTTAAAGTCTAAAGTCGGCAAGTGGCGAACTGTGCCTGATGGTTTTTATGTGTAATACAAAATATTTAGCCCAATTTGTATTTGGTGTTTAGGCTCTCTACACTTATACAATAAATTACTGGAGTTGCTAGCTTTTGTTTAAAAATTTGAAAATCATAGGGTGTAGTCCCGGTATAAGAAAAAAATATTATATGTAAAAATAAGTGCTAAACATTTTTACTTTAAAATATTAATTATTTGTAATTTTTTTTCTTATTATATCTATAAAGTACGGATACATATCATTTTTTAGAAACTTATTTCATATATACCAGTAGTGTTTAACACCATAGTGATTTTAACCAATAAATTTATTAATCTGCGGTGTAACGTCAATATAAAAAATCCAATTATTTAATAACTCAAAATTTTGCTTATGAAATCATTTTAACAAAAAAAATTTCTTGCAAAATTTTGGTTATAATAATTTTTATTTTCAATTTTAGCTAATAACTCCAACTCTAATACTAGCTAAATTTTAATTTTTTTAATTTTTTATTATATTACACAGTGTATAGTATTGAATACTACAAATATGCTTTAGTAAATTTATAGACAATCAATTTACAGTATAAACAAGTTTATTCTTTATAATATCACTTTAGTTTATAACTTTCTATTAAATCCATCTTAATTTTAGAATGTTTGATTTTAAAGTCTTATTATATAATCAATATTTTTTTCGCTTTAACAAATACTGTTTTTGCAGTTCTGCTTTTTACAGTTCTTTATTTCAAGTATACTTCTTTATATTTTAAATTAACAAAATTATTTCTTTTAATCACTGTCATTAGAAGTTGCTTTCTTAGTATATTCTAAAAAAAGAGCTACTTAATAGCTATATCTAATACAAATATAATATATATCACTTACAATTCTCAACTCAGAGATCTTTAAGCTTTTATCTTTAAATAACCTTTAATTTTTTTTCTACTTACTGCATTTAAAACTTTTCTAGTTTAAATATCAAATGCAAAGAGAAGTCTATTCAAAAAAACAAGAAATAAAGTTTAACTCTTTTGCAAACTATCTAAAACATTCACTCTTTGATATATTATATTTAAAACCTTTGTTAACAACGGGATCCCTTTGATTCACTAACAATCATTTTACCGAACGATCATTTAGCCGACATCATATAGGGTTAGGGTTAAGCATTTCATTGGTTGCAGATATATATTTTTACTAAATTTCACCTAGCGTGATGTCGTCAAA